CCAGGGCCGCGGAAGGCGTCCTCCTGGCCACCAGGGACCGAGCCTGCCTGGGGCTCAGGACTCATTCCGAGCCCTGGAGAGGTGTCCCGGCGGTGCGGTGGCTGATGTGTTGGGCTGCGAACCGCGAAACCACCAGCCACCCCGGCGGGAAAGGCGAGGCTTTCTACTCTGCCCTGTGGGGTCTCTGTATGATTCCTAATCGCCTGGATGGCAGTGGTCAGCCCTGGGCGCCGTTTCACACCTGCGGGACCAGGCCAGCCGGTGTTGATGTACTCGCTCCCTGGCGGTCAGGGATGTCTGACACGCACACACACACACACACACACACCCCTCTGCCCGTTGCTTCAGGCTTCTTGGTTCAGAACTCCAGGAGCTCCCAGTCAGGAACCCAGCTCCACCAGCCAACAGCTGCTGTGCACAGAGCAGCTGCCATTCCCAGAAGGAGAGCTCTTGTTTCTGTGGTTCTGTCGGGATCTGTTGGTTTGGGAGTTGGGGGAAGGCTTTACTGGTCAGGGCCCCAGTCTGGCTCCACACTGAGAACTTGTGTTCCCAGCATGACTTGGGTGGGAGGAGCTTCCTTGGAGGAGTGGATCCCTGTGACTGGCCCAACCCAACCCTTGAGACTGTGGGGCATGACTCAGTTTCTAGCCCAGTTAATTGGGGGCAGTTATTGCACCCCACTTGGACAGTAGCCTGGAACCAGAGGCAGCAAGGACCCGGACCTGAGCCTGAGTCAACGTACAGGTGGCTCTCCACAAAACTTGCTGTCCCTCTGCTCCAGCTTACCAGCCCCTCCCGCACCACCTTTCCTTCTCTCCAACCTCCCAAGCCTTCCCCCGGTGTCTCCTCTGTGCTCTGCACCCCGGATCTGCTCAGGAGGCAGCTGTGCAGAGCTGAGTGGCTGCTCTCACTTAGCCCTCCTGCCGGCCTCAGGTTCTCATCCGAGACTCTGACCTGAGGCCGATGGTGCTGTGCTGGGTGGCAGACTCATGGCCAGTTTGGCTCTGGCCTGGCCACTTCTTCATGTGTAAAGTGGAAGCATTCGCCCACGCACGCCATTCCTGCCTTACAGACCCCAGTGTAAATCCCAGCCCAAGCCTTCAGGCGCAGTCTCTGTGCATCCCAGTGGAGGCGTTTGTGTTGCTGCAGTGCCCGGCCGGGCTGAGACAAGCTAGCAAGGAAACACCTGGCAGATCTACTTCTGAGCTCAGCCAGCGAAACCCCGGCAGGGCACAGTGGCCTGATAGCAGCTGCAACCAGTCACGGGATGGTATAGGACCAGGCAGCGGCGTAGTCCATTGTCACCAGGAGTTTAGGGACGATTCCGTGGCAATTAACAGCAGGGCCCAAAGATCAGACTAGAGGATGCTGCCTTAAAGAGGGAGGACCAGAGGAGGGAAAGAAAGGACCTGCGTCTTAGACGGGCCCATTTGCTCACCCGAAGCCACAGGCCCAGCCCTAGACCTAGAGTGCTGACCTGTAAGAAGCTCCCATATTGGGGGGCCTCAAGGAGGTTTTCCAGGGGAGAATAAGGGCCGCGTGTGGCCGGGCTTCCTGGGGCCTAACCTTGAACTCCAAGTTCAGCTGCTCCCACCCTGCACCGCATGGCTGCCAGGGCAGGCAGCTGCCCTTCAGGCAGGAGCAGCTTGCTCTGTGCTGAGAAGCAGCGACTACCCATCCTGGGCACGGCACCCGGGTGGCTTGGGGGTCTGTGTGGGGCCCTGCCATCGTGGCTTTGTGGATTGCGCTTCCCTGTCCCTCCAGACCCTCAGGTGGTAAATAGCTGCCTACCTGTGGCACACCTGGAGGAGGAAGTCCTCCACCAGGCTCTCGTGCCGGCTGCAGATGCTCCTCTGGAAGGCGCTCTTGAGCCATTCCTCAGTGCTGCACACCTGCACCTGGCTGGAGTGCCAGCAGATGGAGAGGCTGCGGAGGGCCGGGCCCAGCAGGAAGTTGTCCTTCCGCAGCTCCGTGAGGGACTGAAAGTGCAACAGGGGCCAGAGCGCAGGGTCCTCAAACACGTCCTGGAGCTGCCAACAGGTCTGGGCCAGGCTCTTCCTGCTGTCCTTGTCCAGGAAGGAGAAGAGGTGCAGCAGGCACTCACGGTTGAGCTGGGTTATGTGCATGGTGGCTGCACCGGCCTGGGTCCACTGGCCACCCTCCTGCCGCTCCTCCCCAGCTCTGGTGGTGGACATATATGGTTGAGGAATGGGGTTTATTTTTGGCCAACAACTGGTGCTGCCGCTCTGAGGAGGGGCCAGCCAGCCGAGATCCAAACAGATGTGCAGAGGGATTGAAATCCTGGCAGAAAGCGTTTTCTTAAAAGGGCTTTCTCTCCCTTTTAGCCAAGAACTCTTGGCTTTTCCCTTGGCATTTGCATTGGGGGTGGGGGGTGGGGGCGGCTGGCTTGACCTGCTCCGCTTGGGTTCGTAGTTACCTCACCTGGCTGCTTCCTATACATCCAGAACCGGAGCCTGAGCCAGCAGCAAGCCTGGTGCAGAGGGCTGCTGGGCTGGGAGCAGGCTTGGTGGGTGGTGAGGCTGCTGCCCTCCACTCTGATTTCCTTGGCCATGAACCTACTGTTTTCACCCATTGTTTGCTGCAAGATTTCAGTAGCTTCAAGGTAGGAGTCCTGGTGGCGTCACTGGTCACAGGTTGGCTTTTAACCACAAGATCAGTGGTTCAAGCGCACTAGCCAGCCTGAGAGAAAGTCTACGCTTTCTCTAATTTCTACATATTCTGTGAATATTTAGTCTCGGTATTGAAAATACAGGGAATCCAGGGCGGATGAGCCCTGCAGGACCAGTGGTGTGAGTGGCGATACTGGGAGGGTAAAGGGAGAGTAGGTAGGAAAGAGGGAACCGATTACATGGAACTGTGTGTGACCTCCTCCCTGGGGGACAGACAACCGAAAAGTGGGTGAAGGGAGACGTCGGACAGGGCAAGATATGACAAAATACCAATTTATAAACTATCAAGGGCTCATAAGGGAGGGGGGAGCGGGGAGGGAGGGGAATAATGAGGACCTAATGCCGGGGGTTTAAGTGGAGAGAAAATGTTTTGAGAATGATGTACAAATGCGCTTTACACAATTGATGTGTGTATGGATTGTGATAACAGTTGTATGAGCCCCTAATAAAATGTTTTAAAAAAAGAAAAGAAAAAAACTCACAGTATTTAGTCTCGGAAACTCATAAGGCACCGTATCGGAGTAGAAGAGGCCGGTGGGATCTCAAAGGACGCGTGGAACTGTGTCCTTGAGCTTAGTTTTCCAATTTTAGATTGTTCTTTTATTTCCCAAAATGTCTCAAATGTGGTAGTTCTCAATATAAATTGCTTAAAGACCACTGTGCCCTCTAGCACAGCCCTGGTGGTATAGGCGGTACAAGTGGGTAGCCGCTCCCAGGGAGAGGCTGGGCTTTCAGTTACAGCCTCTGACCGGCAGGGGCCGCTGCGTGGACAGTGACTTGGTGGCTGGCTAGTGGCACACATGGGGGAAGGCCCTGCCCATCCTGCTGCTGCGTGGGCTTCCTTTGCAACTGCCTTTAGTTCAGCAGCTCTCGACCTTCCTAACGCCGCAACCCTTTGATGCAGTTGCTCATGTTGTGGTGACTAAAGCAGAATCGAGCAGGGAGGAAGACGGACATAACTGACAGGACAAGGGAGAGCAGAAACAAATAGCTTTATTGGGTGGGGGGGCTCCCGGATGAGGTTCGGGGACCTAGGCCAACAGGTCAGGGAAGTCGTGCTCAGCAGCTGGGGGCGAGGGTTATAAAGGGGTGGTGAGGGATGTATGGCAACTATGGCAATCAGCATACGGGGTCTGGAAACTCCGAGAATTGCTTGTCGACTCCTCGTGGCTTTCTTTGAACCTAGAACATCTGGTTTCACTGGTTCTTATCTGGCGGTTATCTTATCTGCTGCTGACCTTTGGGAGATGCAGGGAAGCATGTGCAGGGCTCGGACCTGCTTCTGCTTAGTCCAAACGGGGGGCTGCCTAGGTCAGACCGGACCCAAACATTCCAAGTTTCTTCATATCGGTAATGGACTGACTTTTTCTGTCTTAACTACTTCCTGCTAAGATAGGACGAAGAAGGGGATTAAGAGTTGGAAGGTTTGGGGGGGCCGGGCCCGTTGGCAGCGGACTGCAAGGGTGAAGAAGCTGATTGAAGTTCAGGTTGGAGATAACTTTCATCGGTTCCTGCAAGAATCTAAACACACAAAGAGCTAAAAGCAAAAGTACACAGATTATTATCAGAGGCCCGTTGAGGGGCGTAACCCAGGCCATGGCAGGATTTGAAACCGTGAGAAGCTGGTGGTGCTCCACTGACGTTTCCTGATTTTATTGATCATGGTGCGGAGTACCTTAACATTTTGTTTATGCCCGATTCATTAATATAACAAGTCTTTATTTAGAAACATGCATGTTCCTCTTTTATCTGCTGTTAATAAGTCAAGAGCTTAGGGTGACTCGTGTTAAGGATTTTAACTGCCTTTGGAGGGAGACGAGAGTTATCAGTTTGATGTTTTTTGCAATGGACGATGGCTACGCTTGCTGGCAGCTGAAGAGCCTGTAAGAGATGAACTGTTAATTTACCGTTTACTATGGGGCCCTCTGGTAGTCAGAAAATCCCGCTCCTTCCAGGTAGTGGCGTGATAGTGAGCTATAAGTGTTATTGCCGACGTTTTTGTGGCCCCAGGAACAGGGAGGCAGAGTCACCGAGGCTGCAAACCACAAAGGAGTTTATTGACCAGCTCGAGCTAGGGCCCAAGTGCTAAGGCACCAACGCAGTGGTCACCAAAGACAAGGACCCCAGCCTGGGGCACACGCCAAGCTTTTATACTCTCTACAGGTTACATAAACTGGGTGAAACGATCCCCCCTGGGTGAGACTATTTCCCCCTCACCCTCCCATAGTTCAATGACTTCATCTGGAGACAATTGGTTGTGCAGGTCTTGTTGGTTGACTGGCTCCACTCTCGGTGCGTTCCAATTGTGGTCACTCAGAACTTTTCCAGATGTGGTCAGCACCATTGTGATCACTGGGCCTTGGCAGGTGTGGTCAACACCATTGTGAACACTGGGCCTTGTCAAGTATGGTTAGCGTCATTTCGGGGGAGAGGGTGGCTTTGTGAGGGGAGTGAAACTCAAGGCTGTTAGAGATACGAAACTTAAAGCTGGAGGAAAAGAGAAAAAAATGAAACTTAGGTCTATTTTAAGAGGCTTGGCCTGTCATGGGGTCACTGCTGCCTTACATTCCCCCCTTTTTCTTGCACCTACGAGCATTTTTGCTCGTGAGTAGGGTTGTTTTGTTTTGTTTTTCATTTTCAGACTGTATTTATGGCCGAGCCTCTGATATTGCTGTCATAGCACCATTAGTTGTACGGTCTTGACTTGCTTTC